TATATATATATATATATATATATATAAAGTAAACTTTTTATACATACTAATTTTTTTTATAGTAAAAGGTGCTTTGAGAAGTGTTTGGACAATATATAAAGTAACATGTTCTCATAATGTGATTTGTTTCAAATAAATGATTAGATATATATATTTTTAATTCTAAAATTACAAATCCATTAATATCACATAAAATTTAAAATTAAGTAATTTTTATTGCACAAGTTATATATATATATATATATATATCCATTTATAGAAATACATTCTTTGGAAAAAAATGTTGAAATTAATAATTATTGATTACAGTTTTTCATAATAATTATTTTTAATTTAAATTATCAATTCTAATTATTGGTTTTAAATTAAATAAAAATTATTATTATTTTATAAATTATAATATAGAAATATTATTCATATAAAATTTGATGTTTTAGAATATTAGAATTTTATAGTATGTTTTATTATATATATATATATATATATATAGTTCTAGCTGTAAATTAAAAATGTATTTTAATACATGATCTATTATTTGGATTTTCTTTTTTTAATTTGAATTAAAATTAAAATATTAATATATTTTAAATAAATAATTATTTAAGAAAAAATATAGAATTCAATAATAATGTATAGCATTTTCTTTAGAGTATATCAACTTTGGTAGACTTTGACAAATAAGAAAATGCAAGCAATATGTGTCTTAATAGATAGATAGACTCTGTCTATTAATATCCTATTTTTGTCATATTTTGGCAATTATTTTTTAAAAAAATCTATTTTAGTAGATGTAATTTGTATTATTTTAATATTTTTTATTTATAAATATTACTTAGTCATACTACGCAATCAAGAAAACATTTGTACTAATATTTAAATAGATTGGATTAAATGAAGAATTAGAATATAAAAAATCTATGTTTAGTAGAAATATAGCTTTGAAAATAAAGCATATTTTTTAAAAATATAATTATATAATTTTTTAAAAAATAATATTATAAAAAATAATTTAATATTAGACATGGCTTGAAATACATATTATTTGTTTTAAGATATGATATAAACATTAATAAGATCACATAAAATTTTAAGATATAATTCATTATAAATATAAAAAAGTAAAAGATATAAAATCTGATTCTTGTAAAAATGAGCAATAATCTAATTCAATCAACCAAGAAAATATTATGTTATTAAATGATTGTTTATTTTTATATATATTTTTCTTATATATATGTATATAAATACATATATATACACACATATTTTTAGATTCTAAGTATAAATAGAACACATGTTTGATTTTTTGTTATAAGTCAATCTTGATCTTTCATATTTATTTTTTTAGTTACTAGCTGAGAATTAAACACTAGAAATTTGTAAAAACAACTAAAATATGTAGTTTGATTGAACCAATCATATATTTTTGTAAAAATTTGGATTTCATATAGCTATGCATTAAAATTATGAATCTATTGTTAGCAAATGCACATATGTAATGTGGTAGACAAATAAAATTTAAAATATTTTTTGACATTTTTTTTTGTGTCCACTATTAATATTCTTTGTCAATTGTTTACTTATTATTGTGATTTTACCATGTAAATCATTTATTTACAACAAGATTTAAGAAATATAGAATCCAGACAAAAAGAAATAGAATTAAACAAAAGTTAAATTATAAACACACACACACACACACACACACACATATATATATATATATATATATATATTTGTAGACAAGTTTTCCAAAGAATTATTTGAAATTATTACAACTCGATTTATTACAGTAACTCTCTTATTTCTAGTTTGAATTATAATCATGGGTTACATATTTAAGAGCATAGTGAAATGTCAATTATTGTCTATGAGTTTTATGTTCATTTATATCAAAAGTCAAGCTGATTTTTCAACAAATAGAGAGAAGTATTACAAAGAAAATAAAGTGACTTGGTTCAATCCTTGACATAAATATTATTAGGTGATGCTATAAACGACATGAAAAAACAAAGCTCTATGAAAAAATAGAATTAGAATAGACTTCTTTAAATATTTTGGGACTCAATTAAAATCGGATTATTTATACGTAGTCAGTTCATATTTGAAAAATGGTTTTATGTCATGTTGGAGTTTAAGTCAAAATATCTATATTAGATAATTAATCAGATAATGTAACAAATCATTATTGACTAATAATATGATTGATAAAAGAATAAGTATACAAAATTTGAATGGCATCATAATATGTGAAGGTATTTCTAATCAAGCTTATTAGTTTAGCTCTTCTTGATAACATCCTTTTATCATGCCTTACGTATAAGATGTAACAACCTAAGATTCACTGCAATTATAACCATAAACTAATTTGAAGAATTGAGTATATTCTTATTTATTTTCAAAAAAAGAAAAAAAAAAGAAAAAACTAACTAGAATTACAAAATAGTCTTTTTGCTACGCAATTTAAATTAAAAGTAGAAATAAGACAAAGCTTTTGTATATTAAAAAAAATTACCATGAAAACTTTAAAATAATGATTATGATATAATATAATTTCTTAATAGTGACTGTAAGGTTTTGAATTGTGTCTTTTTAAACATCGATACCAACTAGGATCCTAAATTTTGTATGACATCAATTAGAGGTTTGTAGTGATAATTTTTTATTTTCAAAGAATTAAATATATTTTTTTCTTTTTTAATAAATATTGATTATATGAAAAAATATACCAATTTTATTTTAATTTTTTTCAAAATATAAATAAAATAAATAAATTATAAATGCTAAGTTTTTTGACTAAATATATAAGATAACATTTTTGCAATTATTTTTAATATACAATATTTAAATTATTTATTAAAAAAGCATAAATGAAATAAATCTGTATTATTATAAGCTAAAGAATTAATTTATAACTTTCACCTAAAATTTTTAAACATCTCTTGAAGTATTTCTCAATTTTTTTTTCATAAATAAATTATCTTATATAACATAGGTTTATATAAATCTTGTGTAATTGAATATTTTTTTAAGATTTTTTATTTATTATTTTGGATCAATTTGAAGTAGTATTTTTAAGTCGTGTATAATATGAATATATTTTATTTTAAACACAAATGAGCTATTATTATATTTTATACTTTTAAATTATTATTTTTGGTTTTTTATAAAGATTCCAACGTATATATACATATATATATATATATATATATATATATATATATTTTCTATTATACAAACTCAAGATGTATTACAGTCACTACTAAGAAATTGAAAAAAATCGTACACAATTAAATATTTTTGAAGGTAAAATATAAAATAAAATTTTTACTTTGACATCAGTTAAATAATCAAGAATCAAGTAAGTTAATAGTATTTTTTATTTAATCTTATGATAGAATCTATAAAACAAAATTTGTTATAGTATAATAGATTATTTGATTTGATATTAATCTCTCAATGTAATATTTTTTAGTATACAAGAAAGTATAAACGATTTTACAAATGCGAAGTAATGATCTATAAGTAGCAATGCATAAATGATATTATATTCTATGCATCATATTCTTTGTATAGATATAACTAGCTTTATAACTTTTTGCGTATATCAAGGTTACGTTCAAAGTGCATTTAAGTTTTTTATAATTAGATATCTTTTTCTAATAAAATTAAAAAACATTTTTTTATAAATTTTAAATAGCAAGATTTTACTAAATTATTTTAAAATTATAATAAGTAAAATCATAGTGTTTCAATTTTATTAAAAAAATATTATTATAGTTATTTTTTAATAATAAATTATCAAAAACTTATACCTAATCTATAAAAAAATATTTAAAAAGTTGACTTTTGGCTTTACTCTTTTATATTTCTTTAGTCTTTTATCAAACAAAAATTTAAAACAATATATATATATATATATATATATATAGTTATTGTATTACTATTATGTAATAATTTATGAATATAAATTAAAAGTTCAAATCCTTGATGCATTGAAAAATGTTAAGATGATTTTTTCTAGTATAAGTCTATAAAAAAAAATATCATATAAATATATGAAAAAAATGTTGTAATTATTTAAAGAACTAAATAAGATAATTTATAGTTTTTAATATATATATATATATAAATTACTCATTAAAATATTTTTAATATTACTAGAATAAATAAATAAATATATATAGGATATTGCCATTGTCACTATAATTTTTATTACTCTCTCTACAACTCACCATCCATTGAACATATTTCTTTGGTTCTTTTTATTCCAATACAAAATTATATTTAATCAAATAGTTTGAAAGGTATTAAACTGACAAAAATCAATTGATTGAGAGATATTGAACAAAGATGGCTTATGGTGGATGGGAGATTGTGGTAGTAGCAATAAAATTTGTGGTTATATTAGCAATATTCTTCACACATACAATAATGTTGTTACTAAATTGCCTACTAGTATATACAAAATAATAGATAGTTTTTCACTCGCAAAATCATTTTTTTATAAAAAATATAAATTTATTTAAAAGTGTCTGTAATTATATTTAGTATTTTTGTTTTTTAATAAAATACATTAACAAAGAACATATATATTTTTATACATATATGAACATTATTCCTTCATCTTGTTTTTAAAATTTAAATTTAGTTGATGAATTAGTAGTTATAACTGAAATATTTACAAAAATATAGATCATATGTCTACTCATTGCAGTTTATAAAAATGGATGTTTGAATGGTAAAGCTATACAATTTTGTTTGGTAAAAATTGCATTACCATCATTGTTATCTTTTTATGGCCTAGAGAATGGTGATAGTATCTTGAATAATGAATCCAAATCTCTATGAGCGTTTATTGTGTGTGAGGTTTGTGACTACGATTCTACGATAGATAAATTTAATGCAATGACATTAGATCAGACCTTTATTCTGTAATAGTGATACCTTTTTTATGAAAAATCTCAGGTTGTACATTGGCAGAACTTGAAACATACATGTAACAGTTGAAAACCAGCAGAGCCCACTTCTTGTTGGTTGAGAAACGAGGCCACATGTTTTGTTTTTTGTAAGCTTATTTGGAAAAGTAACACGAGTTGCCAGTACTACCCGGTAAATAAGTGATTCAACTCTATGCAGTCACAGAGGAAAAACATTTACAAGAAGCCAGATTGCACGACTCTTCCGCTGTTGAAAATCACTTGATATGAACTGAAGCCAGGGTGTGCCACCACCCACAGGCAATACTGGCTGCACGTCCACCATCATTCATAGTTACTTGCACCGGCAGATCTCTGTTGTTGCTGTCACCCAAACCCAACTGCACAAACATTCAGATTGACATAAGCCTCAAAACTCTTTTATAAAATATGAACCTTCTGAGTTACCAGCCCAAGATAACATAGTAAATCGAATGATGATCTTACAAATACCATGAAGACTTATAGAATATCTCCAATACGTCGTCCACTAAGTTCATCATTCAAGATACTGACAAGATTATGATGAAAGCATTTAAGGTATTTCCTTCTCATAACTGCGATTCTATAGAACTAATTTTATTCTGAATATAAGTTGATGAGTTATTCAAATGAGGCGAATTTAAGTCTACAACAAGCATTGACAGGCTAAAATCGACGCATTTATACAAGAGCAATAGAGAACTGAGGTTAGGTTAGTAGATTGAAATTTACCTGTCCATATTTGTTCCAACCCCACGCGAAAATCTTTCCTGATCCTGAAGACGAGAGCATACATATCAGTCCAGTAGAAATTGCGGTGCACCAAACGTCCCAGTTCAGATTTTGTAAAAATAGAACATTTGCGAAACTGTGGTGAAAGATCTAACAAAAAGTGTACAATATATCATTGAGGTAAATGATTATACTCTCTGTGTACCCTAATAACCGCAAAAAGGAAAGGAAAAAAAATAGGAGACATCTTCGGATACCTGTTAACACCACACTATGGCGAGCACCACATGCAACTGCTACAGACGTTTCATCTTCCAAGAGCGGTGCATCAACAAGCCGTGGAGACGTCTGTAAAAATGCACGAGCTTGTGTTAATAGTTTGTGTTGATAAACCGTGAAACTCAACATCGAACCTCGGTCAGGACATGTTGAAGACCGTGACCTGCATGGCTGTAAACCGTTGGAATCGCAGGGTCATGTCAACATGAAGAGCAGTCAAACCTGCGCACTAAAGCAGATTAAAAATGCATTGTGCGTCTTCTATGTCTGCAAGATAGCAAAATTTTCCTGCAAATTCTACTGCATGTCCTCTCTTATGGGCGTTTCTTCGTGGTTTACACTCAGACTATTATGATACTTCTGCCGCATGACATCGAAATTGAAGATAGAACAAAAGTTCATAGGATTAACGCAAACGTTGTATCTTGAGACATCTACAGTGCTTTTCATGCAGAAGTATTCCGGGATTCTAACGCCTTCGTATTCCAAGAAAGCCAATTCTTCTGAAACCATGGTAACTAAAATTTGAATAGCCTATTGAAAGTTGGAAGAGTATTATAGCAAATTGAGCAACTGCATCCGAGGTTCAAAAAGTGACAAATGGAACCTCTGATAAGTGACACTTCAAAATACGTATGATAGATAGCATTGCTATCAACTTCAATTGTATAAAATCGAAGGCATTCAAAGGAAAAAGGAACGCAACCTCTGCTGTGTTACCACCCACACCAAGTTGGCCAAACTGATTGCCACCAAAAGCATACACATCTCCAATGTCAGTTATGCAAAGAGTGTGCCATAAGCCTGCTGCTATCCCTACGACGCGAAGTCCTCTCATTGCTGACACAAGACAAGGGCTTAGCTCATCCTCAGTACTGCCTTGGCCAACCTGCTAACAAGAGTGGTATCCCCAAAATTATCATCGTACATCACTGCTTCATGTTATTAAAATAGAATCATTATGCGATAAAAGCATCATTTATATCCTCCAATCACCGACGAAGTAATAGGGTGTCAGATATAGTAATTCAAAAACAATTCATGTCAAAATTTTCCAAGAAAACCTGATGCTTCTGCTGAAACATCATGAAAGAAAAAACAAGGAAACAAACCTGCCCATATAGACCCCATCCAAAAGTTAACAAAGCTCCAGCGTCTGTGATCAGAACAGGAATCATCGTTAGAAAAGCAGTTCCAAGCCCCCAATTCGCATATTTGTTCCACAAACAACAAGGAAAGCAGAGTGTGCATACCACGGTTATTGCTTAGTGCCATGAACAAATGTAAGATCCCACCAAGTTCCCTAACGTAAATATATTCTAGTTGACAATCAGATGCCTGTATTTACAATATCCAGATGCAACAACGCACTCGTCCCATCAAAAAGGATAGTTGAATAATGATCAAATGTGCTAAGCTCATTCAAGTGGAGGAATAACGAAGGAAATAGAATTGAATATCATAATCGCGTAAGTACCTGTAATGACAGCACTATGGCGACCTCCACAAGCAATTCGTGTTACGCAACTCCCAGGAATAGAAGCTTCACCTATTGTAACCCCATTTTCTAATGAACTGAAGCATGGAACACGCTGCGGTGTTGACACAATACGCGTGCGCGAGCCCAACCCGAGTTGGCCCTCACCTCCATAACCCCAACCATAAACGTGGCCTGCATCTGTCTCCCACACAAAAAGAATTCATCAACACTTAAATGTCCCTACCAATGTAGACAGTACACAATTCAAAGCACTGTAAATGTTTCCAAAATGGGGAAAAATTAAGTCATATGAAAATGAATACATACCTGATAAAGCCAATGTATGACGTCCACCTGCAGCCACTGTACTAATCCTGATTCCAGGATCCAAAATTACCAAACAAGGTGGAGCAAAAACATTCTCCTCGGCTGCAGTGGGGCTTTCCGGTGATCCTCTATCTTCAAAGCTTACGACTTTTCTTTTCTTGAGAACTTCTTCGGCACCCTTACTTTCAGAGGTTTTACATGTCAAATTTCGATGATTCTGTCGACCACTCTGCTTACCCAGCAATACCCCACCGTTGCGCAAAGGTGGAGCAGATGATGATGGTTTACTAATAGCAGAGACCACATTGTTTCTTGGAGACAACTGTAAGCTTGTGTTAGGACCACTTGGGGATGTATCATCTCCCTGTGCTTGTTCGGTTTCGTCTGGATTAGACTTTATGTTTGGAACGCATTCACTCCAGCCCCACGTGTAAACTTCACCATCACCTGTGCATGGATATCATGCTAGTCAGGTTATTCAGAACAGTCGCAACTACTTATTATCAAAACATTTCAAAAAGATTTTCATACATCTAAAGGGACCTAGTAATGACTAACTGAAACACATGAGATCTATAACATGATGATCCGAGCTTTTCAAAACTGACAAATCCAGTGAAGGACCAGGTATCCACGCGCTCTTCTCAACATTCAATAATTAACATTCAACTTTCAGCTGTTCCAAGAATTTTTTCGGAAACCACTAAAACAATGTTAAGACTATTCGGTCGTGAATTTCACATGTGAGAGTAATGAAAATCAGGACGCATCTGTCTGATAGCACTGCATCAGAAAAAATGAACAAAAAGCCTGAAACAACCAGTAAAATAAGAAATAAAACAAAATTATTGTCCCAATTACTGTCCAACCAGGCAAGAGGATAAGAACTGGGATGCATCATAAATATTTTCCCACATATTATCAGATTCTGAAACTAAGATAATCGTGGGTTGTAATATCAACAAGTACTGCAGGCACTTTCAAAACACAAGGGACCGCGATGATAGAAATTTGACGAAAGCTGTCATCAACTAAGTTTGGGGCTTAGTATTGCTAAGGGACGCTACGATCTTTACCTCAAACCATGGCTTCCGGACAATGTGCAGAATCTAAGAAAGTATGTAGTGGGTACTTCTTGAGTGGCTATTTGAGATTTTCAGAAGAACCAAGTATAAAAAGCAACCCGAAGAAATGTCAATATTCAAAGCAGTTAGTGCTCCAGCTACCACGGAAAAAACAGGTTTAACGTTCAGTGTTACATATTCCAGACATCCAGATCAACGTTGATCCTGCTAACTTGCAAACAGTCGTCCATAATCTACTCAAAAGAGTATACGAAGTCATAGATGAATAAATGACAGATAAGTCTTCATAAAAAATGTAAATTCACAATAATTATGGATGAAAGACTTTCCGATTTGAGTTGTCATTGCAGATCAATCATCTGCTCCATTTATCGAAATAATGGATATTGTTCAGCAAGAAGCACACGTCAATCAAAATAAACAAAAATACCCTGAACCTAATTGCAACGCAACTTGCCTGAATTCTACTCGAATCTCATCAGCTTATTGTACGTGCCGAATACGTCAAATCACTCACATATAATGCTTTTCTATCGATTAATGCTACACCTCACAATATTTTTTCGGAGAAAGGTGTGGGCGAAGTGTAATGGTCACTGATTAAACTAGCCATGCAGCCAGTATTCTGAACTCCTTAAGACTCTAATTGCTACTTATGTCTAAGACGTTAAGGCATCATCTATAACAGCCTCACCCACCGTGCTCATCCTATCGTCCAGAGAAACAGATAATGAGGCCACGCGGTGAGCTGAATCCAGGAGTTGCTCAAAAGCTTGACAGCTGCTCCACTCTTGGCATAAGCAGACTCAAATGCCAACTGAGCTGTGCAGAGACAGAATCTCCCACTGCCATACATGTTCAAAAATAAACTCAAAATAAGTGCAAAGGAACGAGACAGGCTCTTCTAAATTCTTAGAAACTTACACAACTAACTGCTCAACTTAGGACCTAGTAAGAGGCAGTTAACAATCTCCAACCTTCTACACGTTCAACATTGACTTACATCGACAAACTACATTGTTTTCAGACTACGTAGTTTGCAAGCCAAAAGAATTGATAAAAATTGCGAGCGAACTTATAATTGTAGTGACACTGCATCACTGAATTGCGCAGAATCCTATTCCAGTAATACAATTACAAATACTGATTACTGCGTTGAATAAGCAATGAAACACAACGAAACAATATCGCTCATCAGATGCCTGAAAGACGTATCGTTTGAACAAACACAAAGACTTTTCTTGAAAAGCAGAAGGAAAATACTGCAATCTTATTTACAACCAAAATCTGTGAGTCGTCTGAGACATCACCAACTTAATCTTCTGCCTACAGTACAAGTCAATCGTTTTAATCGCCATGAAGTACATATGATTTCATGATGTCTCTTCGGAAAAAAATATATTCTGCGGCTGTCATTTCCGACAAGCAAGTAAGGTACAGCAATGATGCTCAAACAGCTTTCATTTTCGTCAGAATCACTTCAAATAAGGCTTCATTTTCCAGACAGCAATTGCCATGTACTCGTTCTGAATGCCAATAAACCAACGGAAACAGGAAAAGAAGGGCAAGGTGGCACACAGTCATAGTGAGTGAGCGTGGTTTGAATGACTGATTGGTGTACACCTAATCTCAATCAGTATCAACTATCCGCAGTTAAGGTGGTGGAGGTGAGATCTCAACAAGGTTTGAAGAATAATGGCACGAGAAAATCAATGGTTTGTACAGGTGGAATAGGAGAACAGAAGTGGGTAAAATTACCTGTAACAGCTGCACAGTGCGCCCAACCTCCAGCTGCTTGAATGATAGGGGATTCCGTTGGTAGTGAGTAAGGCTCAGGAACTTCCTGGGAGGCATGAACAACCGCGATGTGAGTTATTCCCTTACGAATATCATAACATTTCAGAATTGTCGCAATAATATGTCCAATTGACCCAATTTGGTGAATTTAGGATGAGCCTGTACACAGGTTCGTATGTCAAGTCACTGGTACTCCATGAAGTCCCGCCATCAAACCATTGTTTTTCTAAACAAATAGTATCATCCACACGGGTTCACAAGTTCTCATAACAACATTCACCCCGCGTGTTGTAGTATCAACTCAGCTGTTGGTGAAGAATGAGCAATATCGTTAAACCCTGGTTAACTGCACAGCTCGGAAGCCACCAAACCCGTGACAAGATAGAGCACCAACCATCCGTCGACTTACACCACGCAATGAAATCATTTCCCAATGATAAAAAGAGGAAAACATTGAACTGTCGTAAAACCACTCCAATCGGGCGCTTACCTGCTGTTTGCCAGAGATTAGGTAGCACTGTCCAAGCTCTGTGGTAGAACCCCATGTATTGAGCTTACCGGACTCTGCATGTAAAACACCAACAGCAATCACGAATTCAATCGTGTTTAGAATGCTATCAGTTCAACGTTTGAAACAACCTTCACTTCCTTCACATCGAATTCATATTGAATTTCTTTGGTCACCCCTGGACTAAACTACAAAAACACCATCAAAATGAATCCGAGCTCCTCAAGTCTTCTGATAGCTCCTCGACAACGAAGATTGAACAACCAGTTCACTGAGTGCGCTTCGCATTTTTTGAATTACTTATCGAAAATATCTTGATCTGACTCCAACTACAAACATGATGACCTGAGATGTCCCTTCATTACATGTGTAAACTTAACGCTTAGTTGGCGCCTAATAGGCATTACTTCTATCAGTTGATTTAATTTCTTCGAACAAGTCTTAAAGTCAAACTCCACATCTTCTTAATTATTTTCAGAACAAAGCCTATGTTTCGCAATCAGGCCTGACATTCTTAGAATCAATCTCTTTCTATCTAGCGATTTGAAAAAGATTGGCAGCGTGTGGGGTATATCAACGATTCACGCGAAATTTTTAACCAGGTGTTGTCAACTGCCCTAGCACTACAAGACCAATTTTAGAGTAGTAGAAGCTTAACGCCTATTTCTAATTCATCCCACTTAAGAAAATCCTGTCTCCAGAGTTTCACAACGATTCGATGATTGACATCTCCTAACGCAATCAAATATTCATTTCAAAAATTGCACGTTGGGAAGGAGATTCCAAAAAAACGTCTGAATTAAGGTATTCAACAGACAGTCTGCGCTCAGTCAAGTGGTTACGTTCGGTCAGGCTCCGTACCAGAGATAGCAATCCCAAATCCACATCCGCCATTGCAGACCATTTTAAGCGGATCATTGAGCGGCGTACTGGGCACCGGTGTAGGCTGCAACAGCGGCGCCCGCTGAGGGGACGCAGCAGGCAGGTAGCCCCACATGCGCACGCTGCATCCTCCGCTAGCCGCTGTATTATTCCTAGCGTCATCTCTCATTGCAACCTCGCTGTCATCTGTGTATGACCCTCTCCGCCTTGTTTCATCACCTCCCCCCCTCCCCTCCCCTCCCCTCCCTCCTATCTCTCTCCACCTCTTTCGATCCCCTACCCAGCCCGCCAACCCAGAATTGCATCAACACATCCTCCACTACCAACTTCCACACTCTGTGTTTCCACAATCCCTACCCACCAAATCTCAATCGTCAAAGCCGCGTGCATCCAACTCATACACCCAAAGGAACCAATGTACTTGCCTCACAAATCCAACAATCCTTCCGAATCAACCGATTGTTACTTGAACCAGCAATTAACATCTAAAACCATAACTAATCGACTTACACAAACTACACCATTCCACAACCAAACGATCAATCACGAAGCCACTCTCGCCAACACTAGTCCCAACACCATCAACGAAACGAAACGACCTCCGCTGGTAACCACCAGCACCTCCGCAAATGCTCATGAACCACGACACCCGAAAGTCGATGGTCATCGAAATGCCACCTGACAAACTCACCTAAATCGAGTCGAAAAAAAAAAAAAAAAAAAAAAAAAAAATCAAATCAGAATCCTCGAATTACTCAACGCATCCGAAACGGAAAATAAATAAACATATAAATAAATAAAATCGCAAACGCAAACACAAAATCAGCCATTACGTCACACCGGGAGACGTACGGCTTCCGAATTGGCAGGGGGAGTCTCTCTCCTCCCCCGTTTGAAACTGGACTTACTTACTTACTTACAGCAGCGCCATCGAAAATCTAGAAGAAGCATGGCGAAAGTGAACAGATGAGACATGAAGGGGGGATAGATATTATCTAACAATTACAAGCGAAATGGAGGTGACAGATGGAGTTCGTGAGGGCTCATTAAAAGTAATCTTCCAGTCAGTCAGCCCCCGCCCCCCGTCCCTCGCTCGCTCGCAAAGCAAAGCAAGGGAAACGACGAAGCAAGCAAGACTTTACCAGTCCCCAATAACACACACTACCACTACCACTACTTCACTACACTACACTACCACTCTCCCCTCGTCGTCGTCATCGCTACACTGGCCCCGCCGTGGCTCCCTCACGGACGGGCGCGGGTGGGGATGTCACTCTCGCTCTGTGACCCATCCCCGCCATCGGCGAGAAAAGCCCGCCATCGAGATATTTGGGAGGCTTGCGGCGTGCCAAGTCAGTGAGTTGGCAGATGGCGCCACGCTAGCACTGGAGAGAAGTCGGGCCTATCCTGACTTGCCATCTTTCGGAGTTAGGTCCCACGTGGAATTGAGGCTGATTCAGCACGGGTGCCCGTGCCAATGGACACGCCGGTTTGGATTTGTTGCAAATATCCGGCCCTAGATTTTTCTCCGTTTTTTCTACTACTTATCTGCCTCCTCTTCTTGTCTTCTTCGGTGCCATCTTTCTCTATTCTATTTTTATGGCTTTTCAGTTGTTCTTGTTAACTTTCTTCTCTTTTGGTTGCTTGAAATGGACATTTTCTATGGGTTTTATTCCATTTTATCTGCTTTATCTTTACTTGTTATTTTATTTATTTAATGTCTTGTATTGTGAAGTTGGTTGGATTATCACATCATTCAGTAACATTTTATTTTCTTAACAGCTTTTTTTTATAGTTGAATCAACCGTGCATATTTTTTTCAATTTGAAACACTCCATATATATATATATATATATATACCTAGAAAATTATATATTTTTCAAATTACTTCTATTGAAGTATATCTTGAGATTTGTGGTGCAAAAATTTGGTGATATTCATTTGTATAAGCAAGAATGTTTTGCTGTTGTGCAAAAAATTGATAAATATTAACTCCAATAAATATTATGCTTATTAAATGTTTGTGTGAATTCTAAACTAATAATCTTTTGCTTCAAAAGTATATCATGTCAGTAAAAGTTAATACTTTAGAAGATGAAATATAAAGAAAATACAAGATCTTCTTATATCTTTAACTAAATTTCTTTTAGTGTCTTAAACAAGGATTTTTTTCTTATTATTTTAAAGCACTAAATTAAATTATATATATATATATATATATATATATATATATAGGTAATCATACTTCAAAAATATACATATATTTATATGTGATAATTTTACAAATATATATATATATATATATATATATATATATTTATTTAAATTTAATTTCAAAAAATTAAATAATACTTTTTAACAACATAAAGAGTAAAATAATCAGCTAGTAACTAGTTTATTTCATACTTAATTTTATTATTTTATATGTAAATATGTTAAAAATCCTCTCAAAAGTTATAAAAACCCTCAGATAGACATCCTCTTTGTCTACATGGACACTCCTTCAATGTTGCATGCAAGCCCTTGTATTACACAACCTTGCATACACACAATAAAACTTTTATTTACAATAAAGAGTTTCAGGGTAGATTTACAATAAAAGATTTGTATGCAATGCTTTATGATACTTTTTATTCTTTTTTAAAACTTAGAAAATTAAAATTAAAATCAAATTAAATTAATTTTCATAACTTATTATGTGTAATTTTTTTCATTCACTTTAAAAGCTTATTAATTTCATTTAGGAAACGTCTTACTAAAAATTTATTCTAAAACTTTTTAGTGTAGATAAGAGTTTTACTATGTGTGTTAGGTGTGTGGTACACAGGAGGTGTTGACACAATAAAAGGGAGGTATCAACTTAGCAATTTCAAAAATTATTCATAGTACTTAGGTTTTTAAACTTATAATTTAAATTATGAAATATTTATAAAAAATATTATATATATATATATATATATATATATATATATATATATATATATATATATATACACACAACAACAATTTCTACTTAATTGCTAATTATAAATGTAATAAATTTTTTTACCAAAAAAAATTACATGTTTAAATATAACACCATATTTTTCTATATGAATTATAATCTTATAATAAAAACATAAAAAATTTAAGGATATAATCTTATAAATAAAATATAAAATAAAATACTTCAATAAAAATATTTTTAATAAATTAAAATTTATATTCTTTTATATTTTATCTTATGTTGTTAAAGCTTACTTTTGTAAATAAATATTATTTTATTTTTAATAGCTCAAAACCCTATAATTACTATAATATAAATAAAGTTGATTCAATTTGCTTTATTTTTTATATAACATATATGTGTATTATTATACTTATATATGTAATATACTATTATTTATAGAATATCAAAATTACTATCTAAAAAGTAGTTTTTATACACAATGAACATCTTTTAACTTTTGGAAATATTACTTAAAAAGTAGTTTACGTGAAAGATAAATTTTAAATATTAAATTTTTATTTTATTTGATATTATAGAATTTCAATGTGATTTATATATTTTGGGTTTCTTATAGGTTTTAAAGTTTAATTTAATAATATATTATAAAATATAGATTTGAAAAATAATATTACACTATTATCTTTATCTTTTAAATTTATTAAAAATTGCACAAAAATAATGAGAAATTCTGATGTTTGTATCAATATAAATAAATAAATATAAATATAAATATATAGATAATATTTTCAATACTGATAGTTATATAGATTATATTAATCATATATATTATTTAGAATTAAAAGTTTTTAAAGATGTTTTTAAAACTTAGAATGTTATAGATGATTTGATTACTTTCAATAAATAGCAATGAGTAAAAATCTACTAAGTTAATAATATCTTCTTAATATAACATCATAGAAGCTTTCTAGATGTTGATTTTGAGGATAAATATTCTTGAATGTTCTTTATGGTTGTAAAGACTTTTTTATATGTTTCCTTGATTTCTAATAAAGAATTATTTGTGATTATAGATATATTTTAAGAATATAATTATTATCTAAAAGATGATTTTGGTGCAAATTAATATTGCATCAATAACAAAATTTTCAAGAACATGAGATTTGAATTATTTTTAAGCTTATTTGAATGTATTTTTCATAATTTTTATTTAATATTATATAATGTGTGAGCAAAAAATAAGATGCAATAATTATTTTGTTTAGATAATATTATTAAGTACCAAAAGGAAAAAAGGAAAACTTATAATTAACAACAAATAAATATTTTGAAACCATTGAAATTATATATTTAAGCTATATAATATATAATTTTTTGTAATGTAATATTTTTTGATATAACTTATTTTTTTATAATTGTATAAAAGAATATTATTTTATAAAAACCTTATAATAATTCAAGTAAATTTGAGTTTAATAACAATATTCTTTATGTAATTGGATGTTTTATATGTTATAGAAGATCAAACACAACTATATATACTTCAATCACAACATACATTTTTTAATTATAAGACTATTTTATTGTAAAAAGTCTTAAACTCTATATTTTAGTAAAGACTTAATTTATAAAGAAATGAAAAAATCTATCGTCTTTTATATTTTTTATTTTTAGTTCAAGCTCCTAGTTATTGATTTTATGGACTTCTCTATCAAAATCATTTATTAAAGAACCATAGTTATGTTTTTATTTTATTTTTATTTTAACTTAGATATAAATCCTCTAAATAAATATAATTACATTTTTATTTCTATAATATTAGAATATTTAATTAAAATAGAATATTTGTTTTTTGTACAAAAATTATTTCAAAGATAAAAATGACCAATTTATTTTTCAATTGTACATGTTGTAATTATATACTTCTTGTTAATAGTACATCTGATTAAAGATTTTGGAGGAAATGCTTCAATATTTAATAGTAAAAATTCTTATATGAAAACTAATATAATTTAGCATTTAAAAACTATAAGATTCTAAAAACTATAAGAATATAATTTAGCCATTTATGCATAAAATAAAAATCAAGGCTTACAACAAGTACCATAAAATATATTCTGGATATTTCAACTTACAGAAAACCTGAGATTGCGAAGTTATTTGTAGGATTTGCTTCTAATTAATAAAAGATTCTACCTACATATATTTACATTTATTTTAAAAAATAAAAATAAAAATATTAGATAAGTATAATCAATCTAATTTTTTTTGTAGAAGTGTTAAAAACATATGTTAATTTTTTTGATGCACAATGTAACAATAAGAACCACAATAGAAGTATCTTTTAATTGAGACACTTGTTCTACAATTCTTATAATTTTAGAAAGATTTCATGTAAGTTTTTTTTTCTCTATTATTTATAAAAAAATATTTAAGTCATTTTTAGTTGAATTGATAATTTCCATATGCTTTAATCTAATATCTTTAAATTTACGAATATTTATTCTAAAAAATGAACTTTTAAAATATATTTTTTTCCTATTTTCAACTACAAATTTTTTAATTTTTTTAATTTTTTTTGTGCAGATTTATTTTTTTAAAAATTAAAAATATTTATTTGATAAAATAAAAAGAATTGAAAAATAAATAAATAATAGAAGTTTAAAATTTATTTTTACCTTTAGTTAGAATATGAAATATTTGATACTTATTTGATATTTTAAAAATCTATTAAAACTTTAATTAAAGATTTAAAAAATCATATAAAAATAATTAAATTATTTAGAAATTTAGATAAATATTATTTTAAAATATTTATCTTTTAATTTCTAGTATATAAAATAAAAAATAAAATATATCTATGTTTTTTATTTTAAATATTTTTTTATATATTAATAGATAATGTTAGACTAGATTTAGAATTATACATGCATTAAATTATTTGTTTATAAATTTTCTAATTTCTTCAAATATATGATGTATTTCATAAGATTTATTAATAGATTTAGACAACAATACACATTAGAGTCAATTTTTATCTCAAAAATATCTACTTAATAAATCTTAAAATTAAAAAAAGATGAAATCCAATTTCATAAATTGAAATATATATATATATATATATATATATATATATATATATATATATATATATATATATATATATATATATATATATATATATTTTTTTATTTATTTATTAAATAT